ATAAAATATATAATTTTATCGAAATTCTCTCATATATTAGATAATATCTATTAAAATTCAAATAAAATAAAATCTTTAAATTAAAATTGAAAATAAAGAAATCTTTTTTGTCGATAAATAGAAAAAAGCGTTTCTAGAAATAATTGATTCTGTTATTAAAAGAGAATAAATTCATCGGATTATCATTCGAAATAAAATAATAGATTCCATCGAATTCATTTCATATTCCTATTTAACAAACTCTATTCAAATTCTCATCTATCGTTTAACACATACATATTTCATAACGTTAATATATCTATCGATTTAAATTCTAGATGATTTGTTTCTATATAATCGACCTGATCGAAATCGTTATCCAACAATCTCATTTTTATTATTTAATCAATAATAAACACTTATTTATTTCGAGTATTATTTTATCATTCGTTAACATATTTCATTTTATGTCGATTTCAATTAACTTTTATTCTTGTTTTTTCTATTCGAGATCTAATCGACTATTTATTCTATATAAAATTGTTTTAATAGTTGTTTATTGATATCGAGATAAATTATCTTTGACAGTTTAAAATAGTATTATCTATATCTATTCATTTAGAATATATTCTCAATATAATAATATTCTAACATATATGAGGTAAGGATAATCGCGGTTGAATTCTTCTATTCTCTCGAAATTGAGTTTTTATCGTAAGAGAGAAGAGTTAAACTATAGAAGAGAATAAAATAATATATCTTAACATATTCTTCAAAGTAATTTGGTCCGAGTTATTTAATAAATAATATCCTCTCTATTTGTTCTAGATATAATATAAGGATACGATAGATGATAAATTTGATAAATATATATAAAAGGTGCGCTAGTTCTATAAATATTTCTATTAGTTAAATTTTATATCTAAAATAAATTCAAAGTTTATCTTCTATGAAGGATAAATCGAAATAAAAAGTCTCTTCTATTTCTATTGATGATGATTATTTATTTAATAAATAAATATGATTTAAGAGTGGAGAACTGACGATAGATTGTCTTATATTGAATATATATTAACTTGTTCGATGAAACAAATTCGTTTTCTATATATAAAATAAAAAAGTAATCTTTTTCAAAAAAGTAAACTAATATTCTATCGAAATAATTTATTTTAATTGATTGATATTCGAATTGGAAAGATTGAATATAAATAAATATTGTTTTGTTAAATATTAATTATTATCCTGAATATCGAGACATAAATAATCAATCGATTATCTGAAATATATATATATAGAATTATTTTATTTAATAGATGTTAATCACAAATAAACTGTTTATAAGAAAGACAGAAAAGTATCAATGAAATTCTTTTAAAAAAAACACTGAATTTCGATGAAAAAAAGTATTCTTTATTTAAATATAATAATTGCATCGATATAAATAAATATCTTGTTTGAATTAAATAGGTTCTGTATTTGTGTGAATCCATTCTAATAAACTTTTTTCAACATTTTGTTTAATCATTTCATCTCGAATAAGTTGACGAACTCTTTCATGATATTTATTTATATAATCAATCTATTATTTAAATAAATAAGAATTTTTACTTTTTTTTTTAATTAAAAAAAAATGACAAACTTCATCATTGTTTAATAATGATCGATCAATTAATTTTCGTTGTATAGGAACCATTGTTAATTGTTCAAATGTTAACCAATCTTCATTATAATATCCATACTAAATATTAAGTTCAACTCGTGTTTTTTTTCGATTTTTATATTAAACAAATAATTAACTAACTTTCGAACTTTTTTTTACAACAAGAACACAATTTTCAATACGAATACCAAATTTATCATCAGAATAATATCCAGGTTCTATTTTCATTTTTAAACAAATTTTTTTCTGTTTTTTTTTTTTTTAATAAAAAAAAAGAACTAACCATCACTAAGAATCATTCCTGGAAGTAAATAACTATCGGAACGTATTCGAGTACCAATTGATTGTGGACCTTAACGAAATAAAATGAAAATAAATAAATATATTTATTATTAAATAAAACCTTCATGAACATTAAGACAACAACCAACACCATGACCTGTTCCATGTCGATAATCTAACCCAACATCCCAAAGTGAACGACGTGCCAATGAATCAAGTCGAGCTCCAGTTGTATGCGGTGGAAATAAACATGATGCTAATGATATAAAACCTTTTAATACTCGAGTAAAACATTCCTTTTCAAACAATAATTATATAAATGATTTTTATAGAAGTAAAATAAAAAACGAAAAAAACTTTTTCAAAATCTGATGGTTGACCAAAATGAACAGTTCGTGTTACATCTGTTGTTCCTTCTCTTTAACAAACAAATATTAGAAATAAATTAATAATATATTTATTTTTATTAACTTATATTGTCCACCAGAATCAATTAAATATAATTCATTTCGAGTTATTTTTGTATAAGATTCTTTCTTTGCACTTAAATAGATAAGAATATATAGATAGATAGATATATATAGAAAATCTAATACGTGTAATGAATAATTGCAGCATTTTTTCCACTTGCAGATATTGTTTCAAAACTATCATAAAGATAATTGATTTGTTTACTGGAATAAAATAAAATAATAAATATATAATTATTGAATAAATTTAATTTAATTAACAAACCATCTAAATGATCTTAATTTTTCAGCAGCTGAATATTCAGTTAAATCTTGATTTTTTTCAATCTTAAACAAATTTATTTATAATTTAAAAATAAAAAAAAATAAAAAAAGATACATTTTGTTCAAGCCAATGAAGATATGAACAAAGAGCAACTCCATCTTTTATCTAAATTAATTAAATAAAGATTTTATTTAAAAACTTATCTTTATAAAACAATTTTTTTTTATTTATTTGAAATTTATTTAAAATCAATTTTTTTATCTTAGATAAAACAAACATCTAAAGATTAAATTCTATAAAAAAAAACCCAACCAGTCAACATTTTAAAATAAATATGTTTATTATAAAAATAAATGATATATTATTTTTATTTTCATTATATTATAAATTATTTCTATGATTAGTCAATATTATAAATAAAAGATTTATTTTCGAATATTTACAATCGTCTATAGAATAATTAATAATATTTATTTAAATATATATAAATGATTTAACTTATTCGATAGAAATAAATCTTCGAACCTTATTTTAATTATTTAATTAAATAATAGATATTAATTAATATAAAATATTCTAAACATAATATTAACAATTGAAATATTTAACTAATATATTTTATTTTATTTAAATTATTTCAAAATAAAATATAATTAAATATTCTTCGAAAATCTAATTTGTTTAAATATCTATAGAATTTATATTATCATTTAAATAAATCCAAATTATTTAAGATAATAGTTAAATCGATAATTCTATTCTCTAGATATAATATTTAATATAATTATTCTTTTATAATAGATTTAATATAAGAGTTATTTTATTAAAATCTATTCAAACTTCTAAGACTAGTTGAAATCTAACTTACATGAGCTTGTTTCATTCCTTCAATTTCACATTGATTTTTAACAGATTTTAATTCATAAACAATATCATCTTGTATAACTAATTGTTTCTTAAACAAACAAAATAATAACGAGAAAAAAACAAACTAGTCAAATTCTATACTTTAGGTATTATTGTTTGTACAGCATAATTACATGATGGTGATGCCTAAATATATTTATATCTATATATATATATAGATTGTTTAAATATGAAATTACGCAAAATTTATCTGATGGATCTTTATTTTGAAGATCGTTTTTTAGTTGTTGATAAAAACAATCATATGAATAAATGTTAACATTATCATATTCAAGATCTTTTTTTATTGAATCTGATAATTTATTTAAATCAACAAATAATCTTAATTAAATAAAATAAAATAAAATTTTAAAATATATTATATTAACTAACTTAACATAATCATTTGAAATAATCGCATATGATAGAAAAACAGGATTATAGGGAATATCTCCACCACGTAAATTGAATAACCCTTTTTAAAAGATATTTTATTTAATAAATAAGAAAAAAAGAAAAAAAAAACTTACAAGCAACATCATCTGTTCTGTGTACTATTAAATGATCAACTTGATATTGACTCATTTTTGATCGAACTTTTGACAGTTTTTCATCAATTGAAGCACCTTTTTTTTTATAGATATTTAAAACAGAATATTTCCGGTTTTTTTTCTTATTTTATGAAAATAAAATTCAAACCAGAATATTGAATATCATGTTTCCAAATAGGTTCATCTGGTAATTCTGGTCTTTGTTTATCCCATAAAATATCAATTAAATTAATATCTATAGGTACAAGTTGTTTATCTGATTGTTCGAGTGTTTCTTTCCATTCTTTCCATTCATTTATTGATACAAGTTGAGGATCACATCCAACAAATGAATTTTTTTCTAAATTCTTTAACAAAAAAATATTTATTTAAAAAAAAGAATTTTTTTTTGTTTTTTAAATACTCTTGCAATCCAATTTGTGATTGAAAGAACATCTTTTGTTCCATCACGCATTAATTTCCAAGATGTTGGATCTAATTGATATTCAGCTTGAGCAAAATATCTTCCATCAGTCCATAAAAGAGCTTCATTTTCTGTTATTAAAGCTGTACCTATTAGAAATAAATAATAATTCACTTTTTTTTATTTTAAATAAATGAAAATAATTAACCATTTGATCCAGTAAAATTTGAAATAAATTCTCGTCGTTTATAACGATCAGCAACATATTCATTCTAATAGATGTTTAATAAAACTAATAATTATAATAATAAAAAAAAAAAACGAAACTTTATGTGGATCAGTTGTTGGAATAATATAAGCATGAATTATTTGATGAAAATATTTTTTTGATTTCATTAATTGACGAAGATTATTTAATAGAATCGATGATGAACTCATCTGAAATAAATATTCTAAAAAAAGAAAAAAGAATAAATCTCTTATATTAATGATCGTGATGATCATCATCATCTTCAGATATATCGAAATGATTTGAATAAGGAGAAGTTTTTTCAAATATTTTTTGTATATTATTTAATTTAATATGTAATTCTAAAAGACGTTGTCGTTTATTTAAATATCCATCATTATTTTCACATTTTAGAAATTCTTCAACTATTTTTGATGCTTTTTCATTTGTCTAAAATAAGAATTATTTATTTAAATAAATTTATTTAGAAGAAAAACCTGTTCTTCATTAAATTGTTGTTGAAATGATGAATATTTTTGTGAAACAGAATTAAGATAATCTATTAAAGAATTATATTCTGGTACAAGACGATTATATTCTTTTTCATATTCATCTATATCATATTCATCAATTAAATCATTTTCATTTGTTAATCTAGATTTATTTATTTTTATTAAATAATAATAAAGATTTTCTTTTTTAAAATACTAACTGATCATTTGATTTATCCGATTGTGATAATGCATTTGAGATTTTATCCAACATATCCGATACTAAAATAAATTATTTATTTATAACATTTTTTTTCTTTTTCTTTATTTAATAATTCTATTTAAATCTTTGAATTTTATTCAACTAACTAAACAATTATATTCGATTTCAACAATCGAACAAATCTCATTAGAATAAAAATAAATAAGTTCAATGTTTTACTCTCTCTCTCTTTTTCTCTCTCAAAAAATATTCAAATTTGAATTAACCATTATTATTTATTTTATTTTTCTCACCTTTTAATCAATTATTTCATTTTCATTATTTTAAATAATTCATTAGAAGTTTTATTGATTTTATTTTTCTGAAAAAAAGTTTAATTTAACTTTTGAATTGGTGTCCGATAGATAATTTTATCTTAATAAATAGAATTAATATTCTTCCTCAATAATCAATATAGATCGATAATCAATATAGATCGATAATCAATATAGATCGATAATAAAAAAAGCAAATGTTTATTATCGTCTATGAATGAAATGTTGAAATAGTTTATCGAAAATGATCTATGATTGAATCTTTATCAATAAGATCGAAATATTTCTATAAGATAACTATTTTTAAATAAAATCTTATTGGTTAATGTCGGAATATAAATAAAGATTTATTTTGAATAATTCGAATTAAATTGAATTATATTGAATAAAAAACAAACAAATTTTTCTTGATTTTTTTTCAAAATCTATTCTTAAATGAAAATCTTTTCTTAAATGAAAATCTTTTCTTAAATGAAAATCTTTTCTAAATAATAATTTCTCTATTGTAAATAGTAAATCGAATAAAATAAAAAAGATAAAAAAAAGACAAACATTGTTGAATTCGTTGATCATTAAATGTATATTGTGTCGATGTTATTGAATCTTCATATTCAAATTGATTTCGTTCATCATTTGTTGTTGAACGATTTGTTTGATTAGATAATGATGAATTTAATTTTGATTTTGTTGAACAAAGAGAATTAACAATTCCAATATTTGAACTTGTATTTTTTATATTTGATCGATCACTAACCGATGATACAATTGGAACCTATAAAATAGATAATATAAAATAATTTAATTAATTATATTATAATAAATCATTTATAAATAGTTATATATTCTATCTTATAATCAATTATTTTATATTAGATAATTAACAATAAAAATGTTTATTCTATTATCTATTTATAGAAGTTAATATTCGATAATATTAAAAAATGAAAAGATTATGATAACTCTTATCTATTATATATTATCGAATAATATATTTAATAATAGTTTTAATTAAAAGACGACATAAAAGCAACGAATGACATTTATTATTTTCGAATATTTGATTAGGGAAAATTTGTCTACGATAGATTTTCTTTTATTATATAATAGATATAGATTTATTCAATATAAACCATTTTTTTTTTGTTATAAATCAAGTTTAATTAATTAATATAATAAACTGAATATTTGAACTTATTTTATTGTTAACATAGATATATAGATTCACCTGAATAATGACGAAAAATAAAAATATTGCGAGTAGAATGTCGAAAAAATGTTCTACTGATTGAAGTTATCAAATTTGGACATCGAAAGGAAAGGTTGATCGACACTTCCGTGGAATACATATCTATGCAGAATAGTTCCTCATAAAGACTTCATTCTTACTCTCACCCTTATTTTCACTTTTCCAATCACTACTGCACTAAACTCTCCTATCAAGATTTTTTTGTTAAAAGATAAATCCGATATTTGTGATAACAAATTGAAAATTGTTTAGAAATAAGACGAGAACAATAGAAGAATATTCTTTGTTTTTCTATTATCATAGAACGTCTTTCCATATTTAAATACTTTATGAGTTTAATCATTTTTTATATATTAATCTTTCCAAATTTGACTTTCGATATAATTCATGTTTACTCATATATAATTAGTTGAATAAAATATTCTTTATTCTAATATAAAACAAGGATAGATAATTGAATAAAACAAAAATCTATCTTAGAATCATTTTATCATCTTAACAAAACAAATTATCATATTTAAACAAAATAAATAAATGTTTATTTGTTTTATAAAACTGAATGGAATAATCGTTGGAAAAATGTCTGACTCTCTTTTACCATATTGTCGATTTCTAAACGAATAGAATCTTGTTGTTGTTGTTAGAAAGAATTCTATCTCAACTAGATATATTATACAAAATATATTCTTTCCATAATCAATCTGACAAGGAGGAAATATTAAAAAGAAAAGATCTAGAAAAAAAAAAACGTTCCTTTTAACTTGATCATCGTACAACATGTGTGTTTCTATTTTGGTTTAACTTTTTATATAAGAAGTGAAATATAAAATAATGTCTTAATGGTAAATATTCTAGTATAATCAGTGCTTGTTTCCAAGAGTCTATTCAAAGTTAAATTTATTGTTGATTTTTATAAAAAAAAAGTCTCTATCTATTTATAAAATAGATTCTAGAAGTTGATCGCTCTTCCTAACTGATCGTTTTGTAAAAGATTAAAAAAAGATGTTTTCAATTATTTATTGTCTTGCTCTTTTAAAGGATTTTTAATCTGATATATTTTAAATAAATAATAGACGAAAAATGAAATTGATACATAGATTTATTAGATAGAGAGTGATTTACTTTGAAATTGATCATTATTGAAAAACGGTCTATTTTACAAAAAAATCTCTATTTATATATATATTTCAATAAAAACTAGTCAATAACGGATCGAAAAATATTTACCAAAAGTAGTATCAATTGACCTATTCATGCCCTGAACTTAGCCGAACTTTTCTTTATTAGAATTTCATCTATCTACCTGAAAACAATTGACAATATAGAAATTTTTCAAATTCTAAAAAAACCTTCGAACAACTTTTCCTTTTAATTTATCCTTCGTTATGAGATTGATTATGAATGGAAAGAATATTTTTCATAGAATATATCTATCCCATTCGTACATAAGTTCTTCACCTTTGTATTAGTAGAATTATATTCCCTATATAAAACTACATTTTAAGAAAACTAATTAGATATTCTCATACCGCTCGGAATTCTTCATCACCCTCTATATTTAGTTCTTGACTTAAATTTATTTGTTGAAAAATATTTCGACTACAGTGAAGACACCCTCACCCGCATTGACAATGTTCGAAATATTTCTCGGTAAATAAGTTCAAGCTAAGACCTGAATATACAGGGTGATAGAGCATTTAAAGGACTCAGAATCTATATTTACTTTTCGAAAAAACAGATTAGTGTATAGATTTAAATTTTAATAAGACATTAGAAACAAACAAAATGAAGTTCGTATGGATCTGAGGGTGATAGAGAGTTCCAACCGCTATCAGAATACATAATTTATTTCCTTTAAATCTAATTTTATATTGGGAATATAATTCTACTGATCCAAACGTGCAGAACTTATGCATCAACGAGATAGTTGAGATATAACTCTTTCTAACAAGAAAAAAATTTGAATTTCTTTGAAAACTAGTCAATATTCTCTAATAAAGATGTCAGATTTATCGGAAGAGTTTTCGACCGATAATAATATATAATCAATATATATAAAAGACTAACATCATTTGTTGTTTTATTAATTGTTGATCGAGTTGCATTAGCTTGAAGTTCTTTTATTTTTCTAAAAATAAAAAAAGAAAAAAAAAAGTAAAATGAGTAAGAATAATAATAACAAACTTTTTAACAATAGATGCTTCTCCTTTGGGATAAAAAGGCCAATCATAATTAACTTCTCCACTAGTTAATATATATTTAAAAATAATAAATTCTCCTGATTTTGATAATGTTGATATTGATGATAATAATGAATCTAATTGATCTTTTTCATCATCACGTATTCCACCATCGTTATTTAAAATAAAAAAAAAAAAAAACATAAAATATTTAAATAAAAAAAAATCTAATTAATACCATGTTTTAATCGAAGTAAAAGATCTGGTTTTTTATATGTTCTTGCAGCTAATAAATGGACAAGACGTTCTCTTTAGAAAATCGAATAAAAAAAAAAAGAAAAAAAGTTAGTTAATTATAAAATAATTATTTTAAAAACCTTAATGGTCTTTCGGAAGAAAGTGATTGAGTATTAATATTTGTATTTGGACTAAGATGTTGTTCTCGATTAATTGTTCTTCTTTGTTGTTTTGGATTATTTCCTGTTGTTGTTGTTGTTGTTAATGAACGTTGATTTGATGATTTATTTGTTTTTTTTTGTAATATTATTTGTGAACTTTCACCTATTTCTTTCGTTCTATTTAAATAAAAAAACAAATTTTATTTAAATAAATAAAAATGATAAAAACGAACTGTTTTTTTGTTTGTTCTTCATTTTTTTGAAATTCTGTTACTTTTGTTTTAGTCATACTATAAACATCTTCTTGTGCATGAATATTAAGTTTTTGTTCAATAATAGCACAACTTTCAAGATGACTAATTTATTAATTAAATAAATATTTTAAAATAAAAAAAAAAAGTATAAATAAATACTCTCGATTAATTTGTTTAATAGATTGAAAAACTTCAGGTGTTTTATCTTCAGGTGATATATTAAATGAATATGTTTTTCTTTCACCATTTGTTGTTGGAATTGATATATCCTATTTATTTAAACAAATTTATTTAATAAAGAAAATATTTTTATTTTTATTTTACTCCTCCATTAAGATTAAATTTAATATTTCCTTTATTTGTTGAATTTTGTTTTTTATTTAATTTAATAAAAGTTTCAATTGTTTTCATACATGAATCCGTTAATTTAACAAATATAAAGATTTTTCCATCATTAGAAGATGAACCATCTTCATTTAACCAAAATTTATGATTTCCAGGAAGATTTCGATCCATTAAGAATACGTTTTTTTAAAATATCTATAAAAAAATTAAATTAAATTTATATACAAATTGAGAAACAAAAAAAAAACGAAGATAAGAATGAAAAATTTTCTATTAATATCGATTATTATTTTATTTATCTTTGAAAATCTTCTATATTAGAATAAAATAAAATTCAATATAGATTTTATTTTATTGTTAATAGATTAAATTCTTAAACCAGTTTAAATAATTCATTATATTAAATATTCAATTCAATTTTAAGATTTGTTTTTTTTAAAAATAGAATATTTATATAAAATCTCTTAACTATTTAAACGACGATAGAGAGATATAACAAATTCATCTTATATATATATAAATGAAATTTTAAAAATAATATCAACGATCATCAATTTAATCAATAATATTTGTTAATAATATAAATAAAAGTTAATATAGAAATAAATCTATAATATCGAATTATTTTATATTAATAGAAATCATTTAATAATTAAATTTCTATTATACGAAAAGGATATATAAATGATTAACAAATAAGTTTATTTCAATTGAAAAAAAAACTCAAATAGAATAATCGAGATTTTCTTTCGATATGATTTATTAATAAAATAAACATTTAAGAAAAACTATATTTAAATAAGCATAACCTTAACAAATACTTTTTTTTTTTATCAATATATATCAACAGAACATATGACTTATATAGAAAACGAGTCTCGATCTATAGAGATTTTAATATTTTTTTATCCATAAATAAAACTTCTATGGAAATATCTTATATTAATTATTTATTCGAATATTTTTCGATAATTTAAATAAAATATATTGAAATTTCTTTTTTAATTTTATCGAAATCTAAACAGTTTACCGAATAATGATTTATTTTATATTATTTATCGAAATATTTTATTATCTTTAACCAATCAATTTCGTCTAAACCAACATATTTTATTTGAATAGAATAAAAAATAAAAAAAAACATTATTCAATATCTAAAACAAAAAAAACAACAACAACAAAGTAAATAAAAGGAAAAAATGCATTGAATATTATCATTTGACCTATTCAAAAAGGGTAAATAACATTTATTTATTTTATATAACAATATTGAATAAAATTTTAAATAAATAGAAGATTTTTTTTTATTCTTATATTAAGATTTTATTTATTATTTATCCTTAGATATCTATATTTATATATATCGATATATTCGAAATTATATCGATTGATTCATTCAAACAAATATTTCAATATTTATATTCTAATTGGACAAATTTCTCGATCAATCTTAATTATGGTTAAAAAACACATCATCATTAAATAGTGACATCTAACGATATATCAATATACAATTTTATATTCAATATATAGTGTGAGAAATTGTTTTAAAAATATTCTATTTAAAGTAAACCTTGAAGATTTTATTTAAAAGGATTTATTTAATGGATTTATATATCGATTTGAGTAGATACTTAACATAATTAGTCAACGATAATGAGAGAACAACTAGTACACTTCAACATTTCAACATTTCAACATTTTATTTTTATTATTTGTCTAGACAAATAAGTTAAAATAACATTGAATATGTTCAGACGTTTTTTTTCCATTCGATTTCTATATAAACAAACGTTTTGAATAAATTGAAATCTGTTAACTTATAAATTCTGATAAATAATATTAATATAAAATGAGTATTATCATTAAATTGTATTCAATGATTTATGTCTAAATAGAAGTTTATTATAGATAATATTATCTTTATATGAGAATATTTATATTGATGATGATCAACAAGAGAGATACATGTCAATCATTTTTATCATTATATCAATAGAAAGAGAAAAGAGAAAAGAGAAAAGAGAAAAGAGAAAAGGAGATTTTTTTCAGATTTGTTTAAACATAAAGAAAAAAAAAACCGGGCAGATGAAAAGATTGTTTATTTAATTAACTTATTTTGTTGATCGAAAATTTTCTATGTTTATATATATAATAAAGAATATTTATTGATTGAAATAAAAAAGAAGATTTTTTTTTTTCGTTCTATTTAATAAAATAAATCTGTTATATCTGATCTCTATTGAATAAATTTCTTTCTAGTAAATCTATCCATAATTATTGATTATAAATAATATCTAATATATAAAAAAAAAAAATTTCTTCTGTTTTTTATTTTCGATTTGTTAATATATATATTTATAATAGTTAATTATTTCGATTATTATTTTCTTCTTAAGATAAATATATCGATCTAAAAGGTTTGACACTCGTTTTATGTTGAATATATAAATAGAAAAGAAAAAAAGAAAAAAAAGAAAAAAGAAAAAGAGGACACCTGTGAGATGGAATTAACGTTTCTTTTATCTTTTGACAGGTCACGCCAACAACAATTATTGCATCACGATATTGAGAATAGGTTAATTCATTTCAATTGACTTTTCATCCGTTTTTTAGTTTTTATCTGATTATTAAAAGGACAAAAGAATAATTGTTTACTCAATATAAAAAGGAAGAAAAAAAAAGCGGGCTGAGAAGAAGAAAAGATTGACTCTTAACAAAAAGGTGATTAAAATAGATATTGATTAATGTGACCATCTATGATAATTATCTTAATTGTTTACTAAGATTTATTAAATAATAGTAAATAAGAGATAATTAATCATTTATATATATAATAGATTTATTTTATTCTTCTCAAAACAAATTCAAATCAGAGAAAAAAACCTTATTTATTTATATTCTCGAGTTTTTTTTTCATGTTGAATAAAGAAAAAAAAAAGAAAGAAAAGTGTTCAATAGAATAGAATAAAGACACCAAAAAAAAAGAAAAAAACAAAAAAAAAAAGATACAACATAAAGAGTCTATATATATATATATATATAAAGATAAGTTGATGTTCACTGTATTGACCGGCGATTGTTAAATATGATGATTTATTTAATTTAAATATAAGATTTTAATTGGAATGAGAATATCTGACACTCGTCTATGAGTGATTCAACAATCATTTGAAAGGTTTAAATGCACCAACTATTGTTTGACCTTTTTATAAAAACAAATAAAAGATGTTAAATAAAAAAAATAAAAAAAAAACCTTGTGATGATGATGTTGGAGATGAAGATGTTGATGATGATGATATTGAATAAGATCTTGTTTGTTGTTGTTTTTCTAAAAAAGTATCATTTTTATTATTTTTATGATTTTTTTCTGCCATATCTGCAAGTGACCAAATTCCACAACGTTTTTTCCTTTCTCGAATATCATTTTCATCATATTTTCTTTTTCGATTTGTTTCATCTTTTCATTATTTAATAAAAAAGAAAAAGAAAAAAAAATCTTGTTATTTTTCATTGTTGTTTTTTTTTGTTTTATATAAATAAATAAAAATAAAACCTGTAGGAATATTTTGTTGTTCAATGTGATGATGTTGAATAAGAGTTAATGGAGGTGATAAATAATGTATATTTGATATAAAAGATGTTTGTGATGTCGTTGTTGTTGATGTTGGTATTGGTGTTGTTCCTCTTATTCCTGTTATTGTTGTTGATAATGATGATGGATTTGTTGTTTGAATTGTTGGAGAAGTTGATTCATCATCAGATCCATCACTATTTGATTGATCAACATTTCGATCATCATCATCATCAGTTGTTCTTTAAATAAAATAATTATTTTAAAGAAAAAAAAGCAAACAAAGGTCCAAACCTATTTCTTGGTGACCAAGTCATTTTATTTTCTTTTTTTAATCTTCTTCTAGCATTAGCAAACCAAGTTGAAACTTGTGTTAATGTCATTTTAGTCATTATAGCTAAATAAACTTTTTCTGATTTGGTTGGATAAGGATTTTTTCTATGTTCATATAACCATGCTTTTAATGTAGCTGTTGTTTCTCTTGTTGCATTTTTTCTTCTACCAGCTAAATCCATGTGAGGAGAATAACTAAATAGAATAAATATATAATGTATATTCTCAATTTCTAATGTGTCTACTTCGGAAAATGATCTCATATGATCATTTTCTATGCATCAGTTAAAAAAAGAAATAGATATGCATCGTTTACAGACTATAACATTCACTTCATTAGACTCGAGGCGATTCTTCTTCTTCTTCTTCTTCTTTTTTTTTTTTTTTTTTTCTTCTTCTGATTATATTCTCTAAGTGATTCCATTTATTTTAGTTATAGAACTCATTTGAAAATAAATCTATTTTAAGATAATTAACAATCAGAATAAATATATTCACATTTTATTTTAAATCTTTTATTTAAATAAAGAATAAAAGCAGATGCTCATAGAAACAAAACTTAGATTTTATTTAAATCGTTTTTTATTTATAATCGTTTATAGTTTAAATTAACTCAATTGACTTACCCAGCTGCATAAGGAGAATAACCAACCAAAGCAACAGCTGTTGCTGCATCATATACATATGGATTTGAATATGGATTACGCCATGGATTACCATTTACTAAACTATTACAATCTTGATTCAATCCAATTACATTTATATTTGAATCCTGGGTTTTTTTTTTAGAATTTAAAAACAAACAAACAAACATTTATTTCACTTTCTTTCTTTCTTTTTTTAATAATTACTTTAATTGATGAATATGGATTTGAATCTGATGGATTAAGACCAGCAATCCTATATATATATATATAGAGAGAGAGAGAGATATAGATAAATAGAATTTCGACAGGTTTTTTTTTTTCTTTAAATAAAAATCTAACTTACATGATCAATATAATAATAATTATTATTATTATTTAAAAGAAAAAAAAAAGAAAAAAAGAATCTTAAGTAAAGAAAAAAGAGAGAGAGAAATTAGTTTGATATGCAAACATAATTTAGCAAGTGTTGCGACAAGAATGCGAACAGTCGTTCGACGTTGCCTTTCTCTTTCTTTCTTAGTTACCAATATTAATATATTGTTAAACGAATCAACATTAGAAGAAAACGGAAAATAGAGATCGAGAGAGAGACTCACTGACAAACGAGAGAGAGTGA